TAACTTTATGTGCCATAAGAACTTATTAGTTGAATTTAATCGCCAAGTCACTTGTATTGTTGGGTCAAATGGAAGTGGTAAATCGGCTATAATGGTGGGAATTGGGGTGGTTTTTGGGGCTAAAGCCAGTGCTATGGATCGTGGTGGGTCTTTAAAAGGTCTAGTTCGGGCGGGAGAGAGTGGAGGTACTATCAAAATTCAGATAAGAAATTCAGACTATCGAGTGGCTGAATTTGGCCAAACAATTACAGTTGAGAAAAGGCTGTATACTGATGGTCCCACTCGCTTACGGATCTTAAGTGAATCTGGGGTAGTACTAGGCCGGACGTTTGAAGACTTACTTTTACTTATGGAACACTTCCGGATTAGTGTCAAGAACCCAGTTTCGTTTTTAACGCAAGATCAATCAAAACAGATCTTAAGGGCTGGAACGCCTAAAGGTCTTTATCGATTCTTCAAGGCCGGTACAGATATTGAAGATACGGAAGAAATGCATCAGAAGAATCAAATCAGTGTGCAGAAGATGCAAGAAGCTATTGTGCAAGCCGAGAAGAAGCATCTTTATGCCCAGAAGAGTTTAAAATCAGTAGAAACAGCTCTAGAGATAAGTAATTCTATTCTTAAGATAGAATCAGAACTAGATAAGCTTAAAGTTGAAAAGGAATGGGCCGATACACTAGCTAAGGCCGAAGAGAAACAACAAAAGGAAAGAGAGAAAGAATCAGTTTATGCCAAGTACGTCCAGCACTCTAAGACCAAAGAAACCATCTTACAACAGATTGCCGAAACCAAAGATGAAATTGGAGCCAAAACCACTGAATGGCGGGAAAAACGGAACCAAGAACATACTCATCGTGCTCAATTAGAAGAACAACTCGTGAAAGAACGCAAAAGAGAAGCAGAGATAAGACGGGAAATCGAGTACTTCCACTATGAAATAGATAAGGCCTCTAAAAACATTACCCGAATTGAAGGTATTCTTGGCATTGAGAACAATACAACTTCTGCCCAAACAATTGAAGAACTAGAACGCAACAAGGAAACTCATCAAATCGCTCTTAAGGACCAAGAGAAGAAACAAGTCGAACTTGAAATCAAAAAAGCCCAAGTAATCATTAGTATAGATAAGAAAAAAGCCGAAATCAGAACATTAGAACAATATACTGCTAAAAAGACTGAAGCCCTTCAGGCCTGCCAAAACTACAATCCAATCAACTACTACGGCCCAGCCATGGCTAAAGCTATTGCTACTATTAAAGCCCAAGGTATTCCTGCTATTGGTCCCCTTGGTTTAAGTATTGTCATTAAAGATGAGAAGTGGTCCCGAGCAGTAGAAGCCGCTCTTGGTCAATCTGTTTATGGGTTTATTGTGCATACACAGACGGCTAAGTCCGAGTTAGAGAAAGTCTTTCAACTAGCCGGTGTAACTAAGTACCAGATCTACATTACTCAGCCACAAGAACAACGGCAGCACGATTGCATTCTAGCTAAGGCCCAAAGAGCGGCTAAGGAAATAGAAGGTCGGGCCGGTACAGCTGGTAGTTCCCAAATATGTACAGTTCTTTCCCAAATCGACCGGACGCCCACCCTTATTATTGAGCAGCTAATTATTCTCCTGGGAATAGAAAGACTAGGTTTAGTACAAGATCGTGGAGTTGGTTACTCAGTCCTTCAGAAAAGAGCAGGGTATGATGCTATCTTTACACAAGAAGCAGATAAAATCCAGTATATTGGCCGGAGTCTTAGTGATATGCGCTGTCTTTTGAAAGATAAACGACTTTTAGTTTCACAAGATCAGATAAGTGAATTAGATAAAGAAATCAAAAACTTACAAGTTCAAAAGTCCAATCTCTACCAAGAGTACACTACTATTCAACAAGAACAAGAAGTCTTCTCAGCCGATCTAGTTAAAATCCGTAATACTCAAAACCAACTCTTATCAGAAATCTCACGTACTAATGAACTCATTAAAGAGAAAAAGCACTTACTAGCTGATGACCTTTCCATTGAACACTCAGCTCTAGTTGAAAAGCGTAAACAAGCTCTACTACAGATTAAATCAATTGAACAAACCCATGCTGAAGTCCTTACTAAGATAAGCACACTTGAATCCAATTCACAATCAGCCGCCCAAATCTGTACGCAAACCCAACAGACTTACGAACTGTCCTTTGAAAAGGAGCAGAAGGCCCTACGCGCGAAAGAAGAAAGTCTCTTGCGGCAACTCCAATCGACTGAAAGTGCTGCACTAGCTTGTAAGAAGGAGATCGATTTATTAGAACAACATACAGCTGCTTTGGAAAAAGAGCACTTAACACAACGGGCTAATTCTCTCTCTCTTTCTCAGGGCCAAGTACTTAATCCGAGTAAGAGTTCAGCTGAGATAGATAAAGATCTAATTACACTGCAGGCTAAATTATCTGCCTTTTCTTCTGAAGTGGAGATTTCTGCTGATTTAATTGATAAGAAAGATAGTTTAGTAGCTGAAATCAGTAAATTAGAAGGGATTATTACTAATAATCGGCTGGAGGTTGATGAAATAGCTCAATGGACAGAAAAACGTATTCAGATCCGCGAGCAAATGCTTAAAGAAATGAGTGAATATGCGGCTGGACAGTTTGCTGCCCTTATGGAAATGCGTGAATATCAAGGATCTCTTATCTTTAATCATCAATCTGAAGAACTAGAAATCAAAGTTCATACGGCTGAAGGGAGTCGAGGTAACAAGAACCTACTTAGTGGGGGAGAAAGGTCTTTTTCCGGGATTTGTTTCCTTCTATCTTTATGGCGACTTCTTTCTTCGCCTTTTCGGATCTTAGATGAGTTTGATGTTTTTATGGACGGTCTTAATCGCAAAGCTGCTCTTCATTTGATTGTAGAGACGGCTAGAGATTTACCTTCTCAAATCATTCTTATTACTCCTCAAGGTGTTCCTGATCTACCTTCTGATCTTTGTCAAATCATTTCTCTCAAACCCCCGGCCAAGTAAACCATCACTATCTCACTATCTATCTTGTTACATTGCTATCTAAATCTTATCTTAATAATAAACTAACTAAGTCTTATCTAATACTATCTAAATACTAACTAAGTCTTATCTAATACTAATTCTATTAAATACATTCCTTGATACTAACACCGATACCTTTTATTAGATAAATATAGTTGAGTGTGTATGACGTCATATTGGGTTAGTATTAGTTTAGTATTAGTGTTGGTGTTGTGTTAGTATTGTGTTGGTATTGTGTTTGTGTTAGTTTAGTACTAAGTAGTGTGCACTAAGTATTGAGTGACTTGCCAGCAATTAAGTTGATCGTATTGATATTATGATGGTATTGAGTTAGTAGTCGTATGCCAGCACTACATAATACTACATCTAGAACGCCTACTACCACCACTACTATCCTTATCTTTAGCAATGTTACATCTAAAACACCTATCACTCTCACTACTGCTACTACTACTACTATCCTTATCTTTAGCAGTGTTACATCTAAAACATCTAGCAACATTACTACTACTACTATCACTACTACTACGACTACCAACTCCACTCAGTAATACCAATAAAGAACACAGGCCAAGACCCATCCGATAAACCATAACTACACTCCTACCTTTACCTATTTTAAGATAAGACATACTTTTCAAAAAACAACCCAATACTAACCCAATCTAAGTACAAACTTATCTCCCCAATAAGTGATAAAAAGCACCTTAATTATGAAATCTCAAAAGAACAATTACAAGTAAGTACGACTAAACCAAGTTTATTTCCAATACCTTAAGCACATAAGTATACCCTATACCTATCTGATAAGTAAATTTAACAACTTATTAATGGAAGATCTTCTTATGCACCAAAGTAATCAAGTGCTGCATAGTATTCTCACTCATAAGTCGTTCTGCTTCAGCTAAAATCCGCCGACGAACATCAACTTTACCCACCGACTCTATCTCCTTACTCTCCTCCGCCACTGCCTTCTCCTCCTCTATCCGCTTAGCAAAAGCAACTCCTAACTCCTTAATCATCTCCCGTTTCTGTTGCGCCTGTCTAGTGAACTTCTCAACATTATCCATCTTTAAACAGTCAGCCCAAGTCTTCTTATGTAAACTCATCAGCATATTCTCTTCTAACTCACTCTTCTTATACTGAATGTTCAAGGAGTAGTAATGTCTGTTCAATCCGTGCAACATACTGACTAGAGTTGGTTTGTTTAAGTATCCTATGTTAGAAGTGACTTGTCTAGCCTCTACTCCAGTGATTGATTTCTGCATAGAGATTAATCGGAAGGCATCAATTACTACTTTACCTTTAACACTTTGAATAGGATCAATAACAACAGCTACTGCTCTTTTTGATAATTGTTCAAATCCTGATTGAGTATTCATATCTACACTTGATAACCAACAACCAAAACCAGGATGTGAATGGTACCAGCCAACTACACTCTCTCCTCTACCTGTTATTTTAAGCATATCCATCATTTTAGTTTGAAAGACTGGATCTACTGCTTCTACACTAACACCAGTACCACTTTGAGGCATAGCAAAGACATCTGAAACTTTGATTGTATAATCATCAACAAACTCTCCTAACATTAAGCCCATGACTTCCATAGGTACTCCAGCTCGGCCATGTTTTAACATCTTTATCAGAGCTAGTGAAGAAATCTGAATTGTTTCAGCTGCATCTGGAGTGTATGAATCATCGGCAAATCTTGCTTGGTCCCACATATACACTAACAAACAAAATTTTAGGCTCATATAGAGATAGTGTTTGGTTGGGTTGTGTTTGGATTGAGTTTAGTTGGATTTGGATTAGTTTAGTTTGATATTGGTGTTGGTTTAAGTTAAGTTGGATTTAGTTTGGGTTAGTTTAGATTAGTTTGGATTGGATTTAGTTGGGATTGGGTTTAGTTTAGATAAGATAATACTTACTTTAGATAATACTTACTTTAGATAATACTAACTCTATACTAACTCTATACTAACTCAATACTTACTTTAGATAATACTAAGGTAATAATAAATGTTGGATTATAATCAAGTGGTTTATTCGATTTGGATATTGGTTGGGTCGGTTGGGTCTAAAATGCACTGGTCGGTTTCCTTTTGGAAATCGTTCTTATTTTCTGGGGTTTTGAGATAGCTGTAGTAGATATATTTGGCTTCTTGGGGCTTTGGTTGATCTGGGGAAAGTTGGAGATTGGGATTTGTGATGAAAGTACTGTCATTGTTAGGAGCAGTATTTGTTGTTGGTGCCTCTACAAGCATACAGAATAGTCGGTTATCTCCTTGCCCACGGCATAATGGGCATACAATCGTCTGGCCTAGAAAGAGAAATGGACAACTAGCACAAAGTGGATGGCCACAGCTGAGATAGCAAAGTATTGAATGATCTTCTGCTTCACCTTCTAATTCAACTTCCAATTCATCTTCTAATTCACTTTCCTTGTTATCTTCCAATTCATCTTCCGCTTCACCTTCCAACTCATCTTCCAATTCACTCTCCTTGTTATCTTCTAATTCATCTTCTGCTTCATCTTCCGCTTCACCTTCCAATTCACCACTACTATCGTCGTTCTTTGGTTTCCTCTTCTCTTCTTCTTCTAACATCTTCACTGTGGCTGCTAGGCTATCTCTCAAGGCTTTTGAAAGATTGGGACTTTGAAAACACACTGGGCACTCAATAGGACTGCAGTGCCCTTTCATATAGCGGGCAAATAGGTGAAGAGGTGTCATTATTGTAGGACTTTCGCGAGCTAGCAGAAGAATCTGGGGTAGCATTTTATAGCTTAGCGTTGTAATGTAGGGTTTGAGGTCGCCTGAATCGGCTGGTCTGATGATCTGGTACTTGTTGCCTTGCAACTCAATTACTGAAGAGTTCGTTAATTCGTCGTTGGTCGTAACAATCTGGAAAGTGCCTAAATTACCTAGCACATATCTTTGTGAAAGTAATAGATCTCGTGCATCTTCTGGCACTTTAATATTGGCAAGTTGTAGATTGGATGTTTCAATAAATCGGCTATGCAGCCAATGAAGAATAATTGTTAGGCTGGTTTGGGTTAGTAATTGGCCATCATTGAAGAATAATAACAACCTTTCGGCGGCAGTCTTTTCGAGACACTTGGCACTTTCTCCTGATGGGTTGGGTTCTTCTGTGCGTTTGGCACGACGGCGAAGTAAATCGGCTTCTAAGTCTTTGAGATTGATACTATAAAATACCAAAAGCTCGTCATCATCTGAGATGGGCATTCTGGCCTTTAGACAGTAGGCTCGTATTTTATCTTGGCGGCTTTGGTACTTAGCTATTAGACGAGTGACATAAGTATCAAAAGGAATGGCTTCGTATTGAATTTTCAGCTCAGCCAACGTGGCTAAGATTTCAGCATACTCCCTAACATCGACATTCTCCAGTTGTAAGGTCAATTTGTCAAGTCCAAGATTCGTTTGCTTTTCGTCTTTCCTTGCCGCTACATAGTTGAATAAGAAGGAGTCCTTGATTTCTCCTGTTTTCTTGTAGTGCACATAGCTCTTCACTTCATCTAGACCCAAGAAGTCGTTGAGCACAAGTTTGAAAATCATACTGCCTATAGGTCGGGAGAGGAGTTCGATTATGGCAAGGTTTGTGCGATGCTGGTTCAGAATATACACTTCCACGAGCTTAGTAAAGAAATGATTAGTTAGCATCCAATAAACAAGATGTTCGTCAACATTATCTAGCACCAAAGTATCAATGATAAACATGTACGGAATGGTATCAGGAAGAAGACATAATGGTGGAGCCTGGCCTAAAATAGTGTTGTTTGGATTGGTACTACGGACATTTATGATTCTAAGCGTTCGAGCCTTAAGGTCTTGGAATAGGCCTAGCATTTTGAGACAAGTCGGGAGATGCATATCATTGGGTTTTTGCGTGCCGATAATTTCGATCTCGTTGTACTGTATATGCTGGCAAAGGCGGACATTTTCGTCTTTGGCTTGTTCCTGTTCTCTCCGGCTGAGAAGATATGCAAGTCGGATGATGACTGTTTCTGGCATTATCCATCCAGAAATACTAAGTCCCTCGCCGCTGCATTTGACTAAACCCAAGCCTCTAGTATCTGGTGGTATATTGGTTATCGCTTTGATTAAATAAAGGTAGAACATAGTGTTATACACATCATTCCGTCCTTTCTGATAATAGACTTGGGTTATTTCGGCTGCGACTCCATAGTTGGCACAGGCTTCTTGGTTGTAGCATTTGTTGTAGTATTCGGCATGGCCACAACCTGCTAAAGGCGGAATCTTCGTAAGAACACACTCGGCCATAATCATGGCTTTTGCTGGTGGAGTAGTTGGCAGCAGTTGATCGGTTAACCTTGGATCTCGAACAGGGGGAAGAGTGCCTATGATCCTATTCACCTGAATTTGAGTGGAATTATTCCGGCCCAGACGCTGAAGAAGTGACCATGGTGCTTCTAGAGATATTGTACTGCTCCCATTACCAGTGGGATCTTCAAGACCAACAATCTCATTTAAAGTGTCCGTTGGTTCAATAACAATTTTACCGCATTTGACACTCTGAGCTTGCCAGAGATCTTTTAAATCAATCCTAGTCGGCATATTACTACGCAATATGTATAGGGTGTACCCAGGCTTTAACGGCAATTGGCTAGCGGGATGGAGTAGCGTACTTAAAGTCCACGGCAAAGAGATACTTGTGATTGGCCGCATCATGGCAATACCAGACCCAATTAGATCAATACTATCACCCATACCCACAAACACCACTTTAAACGCTAATGTATATTCAGCATGTTGAATTGTGTTTAATGCCTCACAAACACTCACTTTCTTATAAGTATCTCTGCACACTTGTCCTGCAGCCGGATTGGACTCCATCGAAATCATCATCGTAATACAATCAACCATATTAATAACTCGAGATAAGATTCGCATATTTTCCATCGAATTAGCCCCATTGTTGTTGTCAATGTGAATCGTGATTTCTTTCACCTTAATAACAGCAATCCGGCGAAATAGTTCTATCGCCTCTTGTTTATCCGATTTACTAGCCCACGACGGCACTCGAAACTCAACCGAAATGTCTTCAGCCTTTACAACACACACTGGCGTATTTGTCGACACTTCAACCCCGCCCAAACTTGGATCCAGGTCTAATGTAGACCTTTGTTCAGTTGGCGGAGTATATGCCGTCACAGTTAAGGTAGCAGCACGACTCGAAAAGTTAAATCCATGTTTGTCTAGTTGATCTGAAGTTATACTGTTTATATCAAAGCGACTGTGCCGATGCGTCCTACGCAATAACTTATTCCGATGAGACAAACGCCTACGCGATGTTCCAGCAACGCTATCCATTAAGTCCAATAAAGACCACAATACAATAACAAGCAACCACTTAGTCACTTTCAATCGACAAGGCCTATTCATGCAGACCGCACTATCTAGCTTTAGATAAGGCATGCAATGAAAAACCAGCACAAATTTATCTACACAATAGTTGATATTTTCAAACCCCTTCTTAAGTTACCACCATCCCCCTAACACCACTACTCTACTTGATCTACCACGACCAATTAGCCCAAGATGAATTCTATCTCCTGCCCACTGGGTCTATCTATTATAGAAGTCTCAAATTAAGTAAACTCGCAATGATTCTCCTTCCAAACTCAATCCCGCACTAATCCATTTCAACCCCCAACTAACTCTACTGCAATAGAAGGGGTAAGTCTCAGACCATTAGACTAATTATTAAACCATTAGACTAATCCGATATCTTATCTCAAACTCAACAGCATGCCATCAAAAAGACTTATCTTCAGTTTAACCGCTTTTTATGAACATAGTTTTATCTCCCAAACCAACACTAACTCAATACTAATCCATTTATACTGTAATAGTTCTAATTTATATCATATTCTTTATCTCCTATTTACTTCCAATTTCAAAGCTATCTTACTTCATCTAATCCAATTACTCCCCCACTCCCCTAATCTTCAACTCAATACTAAACCCAATCCAATCCAAACCCAACCCAATACAATACAAACTCAACTTAATCTAACTCTAAAACCAGAATAAATCCATATCTTTTTACAATAGGAAGACTTCTAGTTTCTTTTAAGAAAAGTCATGTCTAAGATTACACACTACAATTCAAAAGAGCATATCAGAAGTTTATCATTAAAAGATCAAGTTATTTGGTTTAAAACCAACGCTAACACACTAACTCAATCCGATCTACAACAATTACTTCCCGAAATCAATGTCCACAAGTACTTTCCACCCAATACCACCATATCTAACACATCACATAATACCACCACTACATCTAACACAACACCCAATACCACCACAACTAACACAACACCCAACACCAACACCAATTCAATCAAACCGCCTGTTTATTTAGCCTGTCTTGAAAAGGAAGTCTTATACCCCAGCAGTTACACACGCACGGCCTTACAAGATCTCATCCAGATCATAATCCAAACTGCAACTACTCAAGACTTACTTTACCTTCACCAAACCATTTCACAAACTTTGATAACTTCTTTTACTCATCAGTACTCCGAAGAGTACGATCGCTGGCTAGTTCTAATAGCCATCAAACTTCTATCTACTAATTACGACCATCTTCACCGCCTCACTTACTTCTCCACTATCACCACCCGAATCAAAACATCCATCTCTACCTTCCGCGATCGAACAATCATTCTCAGTGATTACATCACCAACCAAGAACTCACCCACCAATCACCCGAATCCACTTACTTCTGCAACGATATTCCCATCTCCATCCAAGTCGAAGAACCCACCACCGACCAACTTTCCCCAGAAACCATCCCCACCCCCTCCATCACTACTCTCAATGAGTACTACCAAACCATCAGCCAACCATCCTTCACCCAACTCAACCCACCAGAACAACAAGCCATTCTCCAAACTATCCACTCCCTCCTCCCTACCACCGCACCCACACGTCTCCATAAACTCGCCCTCCCCATTCTAGAAGTCCTTATCTCACTTAGTACTCCACCCGCCCTCTCTCTTATCACCCATCTTCTCGCCACCCACGATCTAGCTCTAATCGCCCTCAACCAAGCCTACAACCGCAACAAGTACTCCTTCTACACCAGACACCTCCTTATAACTGCCTTAATCCTTATCTCACCTAAATTACGTCCTGATATCTGCCAAAAAATCAAAAAAACGCTTATCTCAAACTCAGATCATTTTTCAGAAGAAGACCAAAGATTAGGCATTGACCAACTACTCCAAACACTCCAATAAACATCGTATAATTAGCCCAGCTATCCTCATTTTTTATTTGCCTTGTATGGAACTAGAAAGGGCTATTGAAGCCACCCAAGAAGGCGAGTCGTCCCTCTCAGCCGAAAGATTCATTTTTGACCATTTAGATAGTGCCATTAGATACATCGGATTTATTGATTATAAAGAAGGCCCTAAATCACGTAAGATATCGACTATAGAAGCCCTCAAAAGTGCCTTTGTTTACAAACACCTCGCCAAGAAGCTCTGTACACCCACTTATCTCTTCCTTCTTAAAGACATTAAGCACAATTCAGCGACCAAACGTATTCCAGATAGTCTAACGGAAATGAGTTATGAAATCTATGCCGAGTCTATCAAAACACTACTGGAATACTATCCACAAGATACTATCAATATTTTGACTCGACCAGAATCACCATGTTTTTTAAGCGCTCTACTTAAATCTAGTGATTCATCCCATATTATTGATATGTTTCCCTGTTTCTTTTCTTTATCTAATCAAACATTTCACCAATGGATTGATTTGCTTATCTCCAAAAATTTTGTTGATATGATCTTTCAGTATCTCCATCGCGCTCAAAAACAAGGTAAAGAGACTCAAAGTCTTTTTAAACTTCTTTATCTTCTTATCTCATTCACAGCTAATATTTTTAAACGTGAATTTATTACACGTTCCGATCTTAACTATACTTGTTTTTATCAACAAATCTTATCTTATCTTAAACCTATCTTATCTACAGTTTTTCAAGATAAAGATTCAATCAACCGAACGGCTGCTTTAGAAGTCATTCGTGAAATTATCAAAACAACCGAGTACTTACCCAAAGAAGCAGCTCCTTTCCCTCTCCTTCTAGCCGCTCTTGCTGCCACCCCTACCTTTAGCCATTTCCAAGCCAATCAACAAACTCCTGATGTTCTGCTACGGGTACTTATTCTTATCAATACTATCACTCGTTGTATCAGATTTAAGACTCAGACTTTACTTCTCTTCTTTCAAGAGACACACTTCCTTAAGTACTTAATCCACTATCTTTATGCGGCTAATACGCATACTTTAACCAATGAAGTCTGCAGTTTACTTAACGAGCTTATCTATACAGGTAAGCTTTTCTATCGCCAAGCTTTAATTGAGATAGGCCATGAAGTAAGAGCTTTAGAGTTCAGTAAGCCAACTCAACTCTTCTCTAACTCATTACAAAGATATACACCACATGTATCTATCTTAGATAGAATTACACCAGCTATTCTTATTCTTTATCGACTTTATACATCTGCTATCTCTGAAACAAAAACAGTGACTACTCATAAATCTAATCCTAATTCCTCACTATCTTTAAAAAGATTCACAATTATTGATCAATCAACTGAGATATATCAACTAGCCCAAGAGCTATCTTTCTTTCATAATGCCAAATTTCACTGGTATCGCATCAACCGTATCTTAGAGCATGAAAAGCGACTGACTCTTAATTACATTCGAGATCCCCCTGAAGTCATTCTTAACTCCGAGCAGTTTGCACGATACTTCTGTGATTACATTTCATCTACTCTACCAGACTATCCACCATCTCTTCTCTAAGCCCTACAATCTTATCTAGTTAGTTCCAGTTGATTTAATCTTAAATTGTTATCTTATCTACTTAGTTAACAACTCAATACTAACTCAATTTAACAACAGCTTAATCTAATAGAATACATATCTTGATTTATTTACCACTTAATTTGTTATCTATTTCTTAGGCTAGTTTATTCTTATCTTATCTTATCTAGTTAGTTAACTTATTCTTATCTAGTTAGTTAACTTATCTCAACTTAATTCAACTTAATACTTATCTAAATCAAAATCTCAATCTCAACTCAACTCAATGCATATCTTATCTGATCTAGTTAGTTAACTTATCTCAATACTTATCTAAATCTCAAATCAACTCACTACTTATCTAAACCAAAATCAACATCAAAAATCAAAATCACAATCAAAATCTAAATCAAAATCAAAAAGCATAACTTATCTCAATTTAATCTAACTTAAACTCAAAGACAGGCCCATCACCAGCGACTATCTTTTTCTCTCCCAAATCAACATTAAACTTGTACATGCACTCACTCTGTTCTTCTTTCACACCCGGCCCATTACTACGACTAGCAGTTCCAGCTAAAGGACTAATTAAACCATTAAATAAGTTACTACTTTGCTTATCTAAAGTATTACTTTGCTTATCTAAAGTGTTACTTTGATTAGATAAGCTACCACTTAGATTGTTAGATAAGTCGTTAGATAAGTTACCACTTAAGTTGTTACTTTGATTAGATAAGTTACCACTTAGATTGTTGTTTTGATTAGATAAGTTACCACTTAAGTTATTAGATAAACTCCTATCTAAATTGTTAGATAAACTCTTATCTAAATTGTTATTTTGCTTATCTAAACTCTTATCTAAGTTACTACTTTGAGATAACAAATTATTATCACTTAATTTAACAATCTCTTTAGCACTAGACCCACCAACTGTCCCTGAACCACTCGTAGTACTACCCAGACCAGGCAACAAAGCAAGAGAATCTCCAGTGATTGTATCAGTACTACCACCCACATAACCCAATACTTCCCCCGTACTTAATTGATCACTTCCAACTCCTAATCCACCAACCACCTCTTCACTACTTACTCTACTACTTACTCTACTACTACTACCCATACTACTACTAACTCTACTACTACCCACTCTACCCATACTTACCCCAGTTGAACATCTAAATAACATCCTTAGGACTTCTCTTACCTCCTTTTCATCCATCAGTCCCTCTTTCTTCCGGAAGAATCTCACTAGAACTCGATACCCCATCTTTAAACCCACTAGACTCGTCTTTAAACTAACTCCATTTAATTTTAAGCCAACTGCACTCATAACTATTCTTCTTAAAACTTTTATTTATCCCCTGTTAGTAAATGGGTCGAATGCACAGCCAAGGCAAAGGAATCTCGGGTTCTACTACTCCCTATGTAAGAGATACCCCTAAGTGGTTAGATGCCAATGCAGAAGAAATAGAAAAGAAAGTTATTACTTATGCTAAGAAAGGTCTTTCTATCTCTGAGATAGGAACAATTCTTAGAGATGAGTACCAGATTGGACAGATGAAGTTCTTCTCAGGAATGAAGTTACTTTTCATTCTTATGAAGAACAACTTAGCCCCTGTTATTCCTGAAGACTTATCTTTCTTAGTTAAGAAGGCTATTAACATAAGAAAGCACTTAGAAAGCAACAAGCAGGATAAAGACTCTAAATATCGTTTGATTTTAGTGGAGTCAAGAATTAGTCGTTTAGCTCGGTACTATAAGGAGAAGATGATGATTCCGGCTAACTGGAACCCACCTTACCGGGCGGCCGTTAAAAGGAACAGTCGGCTTTAATAAATTGAGTTAAGTTAGTATGGTGTGGTTAGTATTGGAGTTGCTATTTGGAATGTTAATTTTTGGAGTACCCCCTGTTATTATGTCTCGAGAAGGAGGAAAGAAGAAGCCTTTGAAGCAGCCTAAGAAGCAAGACAGAGAAGAGACGGAAGATGACCTACTCTTCCGGGAAAGACAGAAGGAAAAGAAACTCTTAGATGAAAAGGCTAGAGAAGAACACTTGGCTAAACTTAACGGTAAGAACAAGAAGAAATAAACTACAATTTGATTTCATTGCGTTGTGTTGTGTTATATTACTAGTACTATTAAGTTATGGTAACCTATTTATAGTTGAGAAAAATAACCATTTCCTTTTTGGGCGGTTATGTTAATATAATAGAGTTCGCAATATCTATATAAGGGATTTCCTTATTTGGTAGTAATATAATAAAGTTCGCAACAGTATTTCCTTATTGAGTAAGGTTTTTAATATAATAAAGTTCGCAATACTCTTTCCTTATTGGGTAGTGTTTTAATATAATAAGGTTCACTAAAGTATAAATAGGGGGAGTGAAGTAGAGTGAAGTGGAGTGGAGTGAAGTGAAGTAGAGTGGAGTAGAGTAAAGTGAAGTAGTTTAAAAGTTTAATAACTTAATGTTTTATTAAGCAGAGGAGGTAACAACTTCTGGTGCTGCTGTTTTTTCTTCGGCTACTACTTTCTTACCGTAGATAGTACCGAAAGAAGATTTAGAGATAACTTCTATCTCTCCAGTCTTAACTACTTCATCTAGAATCTGTTTAGCTAAAGAGTTAGAGAAGTTGTGTTTAGAAGCTAAGTTAGAAGGAGTAACTACAGTCATATTAACTACTTCTTTCTTTACTTTACTAAAGATCTCTTCATCAAGTATTACATTCTTAAGTACTTTCTCTTTAGTAGTGGTTTTAACCCACTTCTTCTGGTCCTTTTTCTTAGTAGACTTATCAGTTGGTTTCTTTTGTGTCTTAGAATCGACCTTCTTAGCTGCCATGGGCTAAAAAGTAAAAAAGTGTATAAATTTGCTAATCTAATAAATTGAGTTAAGATTAAGTTGAGTTGAGTTAAGATTGGGTGGGGTTGGGTTGGGTTAAGATTGGGTGGGGTTGGGTTGGGTTAAGATTGGGTAGAGTTGAGTTGAGTTAGGTTGGGTTGAGTTAGGTTGAGTTGAGTTTTGAAAATAAATAGATAAGATAAGTACTAATATGTTGTTAAGTAGTAGATAAGATAAGATAAGTAGTGGTAAGTTTTTGAAAGAGGTAGTAGATAAGATAAGAATTGGTAAGTTTTGAAAATAAATAGATAAGATAAGTATTAATAAGTTGTTAAGTAGTAGATAACCTAAACTTAACCAACTCAATCTAATCTAATACTAACTCAATCTAATTGGTGGATAAGTGGTGAGTGGTTGGTGGGTGATATGTGATTGGGGTAGGAGTAGGAGTAGGAGTAGGGGTGAATACTTGATGTTGGGTTGGGTTGGGATTGGTTATTAGGGATCAGTGATGGTGGTAGTGATGTTGATCTATTAAGTGTTAAAGCTTGGAGTGAATGGATGGGAGATGAGCTCTAGTGGAGATAGTAGACGTAAAGGTGAAGAAAGAGTAGAAGTTGGTCGGAAGTCAAATGATGATGGGGAATGGAAGGGTTGGTTTGGGTGGTTTACGGAGTTGATGGATGAAGAAGAGAATATGCTTTGGGAAGATGGATATGGAGCTGCTCTTTTGATATACTGGATACTGAATTGGGTAATGCTTTGTTCTTTTGGGTTTATGAATCTACCTGATGGTGTCTTCTTAAAGGATGCTGGATGGATTGGGTTGGTTTCTTGGATGATCTCGTCTTTACTAGGAATATACATGTTGTTGCACTTCATTAAGGGAGTTAAGGCGATGGGGTATCGGTATCGGGCGGGTGTAAGATTGCGAACGGGTGGGTTCTTTAGTACACTTGGGTATTACTTGAGTTGGTGGTTTTGGGGTCTACTAACTGGAGGTATAGCTAACAATACGGTTTATCATGGTTTGCTTCATGTGTCTGGAGTTAAGTTTTTGATTGCACTGATGGTTTTGATAGGGATACTGGGTATACTGAATATAGCTTTGATCTGTTGGATACTGGCTAAGCCGGTTAATAGTAAGACGCAGCAACGAGGACATAATGTTGGAGTAGTTAAACACGGTCTGGACTTAGTGTTGATCTTTGGACTGCTTGGTTCTTATGTTATAGCTATTATTAAGCCAGAATTCAGACCAGAATTAGCACCAGGCTCCGTATAGATTGGTTAAGTTGAGTTGAGGTGAGGTGAGTTGAGATAAGATGAGATGAGATAAGATGAGATGAGATGAGTTGAGATAAGATAAGATAAGATAAGAAACTATCCAATAAACTATCGTTAGATCTGGTTGAATTGTGATTTTGATTTTGAGATAAGATGGGGTTAAGTTGAGTTTTGATTTGGAGATAGACGGTTGTTGATTGGTGAGCAGAGTGATTAGATATTAGGAGATCGTAAAATTTGCGAGTTAATGTCAATCAAAGTGACGCAACATATGTCCAAAAGTGGTAATCAAGATACAAAGAAGAGTAAAGTGGACTTATTGGACGCAAATGGGATGCCAATTGAGGAAGAAGTAGTGATACAATCGGAATTGGCCTTGAAGACTAGGTTTGAGTCCTTTGTGACGGTAATAGATGAAGAAGAACAGTGGCTTTGGAAAAGAAGCTTTGGAGCACTCATTGTCCTGGAATGGGCTATGTTGTTAATGATGCTGCACATGTTATTTGAGAGTAGTGGAGCTTGGGAGAAGAATATGCAGACTAATACGATGTTTGGCTGTTTAGCTTTAGCAGTGGGAATACTTGGAGCTGTTTATATTCTCTTACAGATGATTAGAGGGTTTAAGGCCCTATCGTATCGGCGGCGACTAATGAGGGAGAAGGGTTATGGTTGGAAGGGAGTAATAGGATATTATGCTCGGTACTGGGCTTGGGGCTTATTGGGCGGATTGCTTGGATTTGGGTTGCTTAATGGGTTTCAGTTGATTGGTGGTGCAGGAGGACTAGTGCCTTATGTATGTGCTATGGCAGTGTATTTAATGGGATTGGTAGGACTTATTTGGCGATTGCTGGTTACGGCAGGGAAAGATAAATGCATAGCTGAAAGGCGGGGATACCAAGCTGCGATAGCTAAACATTTGGTAGAGTTAGTGCTAGTTGGCCTGATTATTAGTGTATGTGCTATGGCGATAGCTACTCCGGAATTGCGTGCTGACTTGAAGCTGACTCTATAAGAGTAAGCTATTGGGTTGAGTTTGGGTTAAGATTGAGTTGAGTTAAGTACTGGATTGGGTTGGTGTAGGAGTTAAGAAGATACCAATAAATGGAGTTAAGTATTTGGGTTAGTGTTTGGATTTCAGTTTGGTGATATGATATTGGGGTTTGTATTGGGTTAGTGCTTTGATAGGTTAAGATATTCGGTTGAGCTTTGCTGGACTGGTTGGTGGAACTGTATTAGTGACCAAAACTGTTGGTTGATGAATTTCCTAAACGAGTAATTGGGCAGCCAACTATTTAATGAATTGGTCTTGGGTTGTGATGGAGAGGGTGAATCAGAATGAGAAACTAGATAGTGTGTCTGAGTATGCGGATTGGCCGTGGGATATAGTGGGCCGGGTGGTGGATCTAGTGGACTCGGAAAATAACCGCTTGAAAAGAGTGGGTTGGGGATTGTTTGGCTTGGAGTGGTTAGTATTCTTCTTTATGAGTACGGTGGCGGGGTTGGTTTGTGGTGTAGCTACACTTGCTAAGGTGTATGGAGATCATAAAACGAAATACTTGTTTAGCTTGTTTACTGGTCTTTGCTGGGCTTATATCTTGCTGCGTATTATTGGAGGTGTTCTGACCTTTAGGCATCGTTATCTACAGAATCTTAAACAGAAGGAAATGGGACTGGCAGATATAATTGCTGATTATACTTGGTATTGGGGGAAAGGTGTAGGATTGTTGCTGCTTAGTATTGGACTGGTGCTGGGGTGTTTATTGATTCCTGGTTACGGGGCTGCGATTGTTTATATTGTGGTTGCGACTGGTTATGCTTTCTTTAAGATAATCTTGATTGCTCGGCTCGGACAGAAAGCAAAGAAGACGTCTAATTGTTCTGATAAATCGGCTTATTTTGTAATGATGGGCATGTATGTTTTTGAATTAATCTTGCTGGTTCTTATTATTGTAGCATGTCTGTTGGCTTTGTGGCACCCAAAATATCTTGATACTTTGAGGTTTAGTGACGCTGACCGTAGCGAGATATATTTGAACTGGAAGAAGGCCAATGAATCATTTGGAGCACAAGGCTCGTAATAACCCAGCAATACTAACTTATACTAACCCAATACGAAGTCCATCTTAACTAATACTAACTCTATTAAAGACAAACCTTGAGATAAGTGTGGGTACCATTTATTGGGTTAGTATAGGCGTGAGTTGAAATAAGATGACGTCATATCGAATTGTAGATATGCAAAACCAAATTGGTCAAGGCAGCATGGTTATATTAAAGCTACGTGTTAGCAGCAGTGAGTACTAAGTAGTGAGTAGCGGGCCGGTAATCAGATTGAGCGTGTTAGTATTGGGTTAGTATTAGGCAGTGGTCGTCTGACAACATTACAATAACCCAATAAGGCGTTGAGACTAGATTTAAATCCAGACATAATACAACTACTTCTAACCCAATAAATATTGATGAATTTACTATCGCTTAGTAGCAATCGAGTTAATACTAACCCAATACATTACTACGTAGTCATAAATGCTTTAGGTTGAGTTGTGTTTATTAAAAGCAAGCCAGTTGTCTTCCATAATAGAACAGTAGGCCAGTAAGGCTAGTATTGCCTAGATTAACAACCAGTGCTTCTATTGGGTTAGACATAAACCGTTGTTGTTGCTGGCATAGACAAATCTGGTATCAAGAACTCTGGCCATTTCATTGGAATCAACAACATAATGTCATTCGATGCGCCGAGTGATTCTTAATCCAAGATAGACTAAACTAAGCGTGCCAACAACAATATCTAGAAGACTATCAGTTTGCCAAAAGTCAGGCAAATCAGAAATATTAACGGCAATGGCTATACCAATAATAGTTGCTATCAGTTCTTGTATGAGATGAAGTTCATTTAAGGGGAGTACTTTTTTGACTCGTTGGTACTCTGCTTTGTTGATATAATAACTGCCAATAGAGGAAAGATTAGGATTTGGCTATTTTCAAGTGTAAGCCTGAGCTTTTATCAAAGGATTTATTTAAACTAATTTTCATACTAATACTAACCCAATACTAATACATTACAATATCTACTTCATAAATTACCTAATAAGGAAATTTTCTGATGTATTTATAAACCTGAAAATTAAATAAACACGAGAGTTTAAATAACGGACTGAAGAAACAACTCCTTCATTAACCAATACTAAACCATGTCTATCTATAAAACCCCATCCCAGATAGCACCATTAGATAAACCATATTAATTTGGGTTTGCATGTTTAAGGTTAATTTTGAGTGGAATTAGCGGAAAAATAAATAAATTCGAAAATTTCCTAATTAGGTAATTCTAAAATTACATCATATTTCCTAATTAGGTAATTTTCAAATTTCTTTCTTTAAATATAGTTGTTTTTTGCACCTAACAAATGAATCAAGCATATAATCAATCAGTTCCAGCGAATTTCATACCAACCCAATATTCAGCCCAGCCTTCGAATGGGCCAACATCAAACTCACCTCCTCAGGTACAGATCGTGCTCAATCCAACCCCTCAGGCATCTCAACAAGCCTCTCCTTCCTACCACCAGGCCCAAAGCACGCCCTACCCCGCCCCTCCTGCCTATCTACAACAAGCCCCTCAGGTAC